ACGGATGTAATAAGAGCAATATGAGTCAGGCTTATCTCGTTCTAAGAATTTAATACTTGAAGCGTGTTATTCAGTGTTCGGAATAACTACGTTAGTCGTAATTAGTTTTCCGACAGTTCCATATTCGCTGTTACTATCCTCGAAGGCCGAATTTTAAAGATGTCCGAATACTTGAAAAAATTTGAAAAAGTGATACTTGATGATTTGAGTATTTGAATAACCACAAAATTCAAGTAACTCGAAAAAAACAAATAAATCAAAAAATTCAATTTGATTAAATATTTCGAACAGTTTAAATGGAATGCAATAGATGTAGCTAGTCGAATCGAATTTTCTCCGTTATTTGAAGCAATCGTATTAAATTTTCTGTGTTACTCAAAGTAACCTAACCAAACTTTTTAATTTCTCGATATAATCGAATCGAATTTCTTCGTGTCTAATTTTTCACACAATTCAACATAACCAAAAAGAAATGTTTTCCAATCGTTTAAAAACATTTCATATGCAAATGAATTATTTTTACAATTTTATACAATTTCATTCAATATAATTTATTATTTCGCATATTTTCGTTCTTCTTCTCATACTCAGATACTAAAGTCAACATTCAGACTTTCTTTCGACGAATCCATTTCCACTAGCGTCAATTTCGACGCCTGGTCTTATAAATCGTGGTATAAGAATATTTCTTGGTGTTTTCACCACTCCTTCGTTTGCCAATGAATTACGACTCATCGTTTCTCTGATACGTGTTTTTTAAGACGTACGTATGCACATAATTACAGTGTGACGAAGAGTTTTCTTTTAAATGAGAAACATCGGACCGAGATCGGTCACCGTCGTCATCGTCGATAAACGAAAGCGACGGTGCACGACCTTCCTAAACGCAGGAAGTCAGCGGGTCCGGGTTCATTCATATACAATCCACCTCCGTAGCTCAGCTACTCTTTCTCTGACGCGTTTCGTCCCATTACCCTTTAAGGTCGAAGAAACAGATGAAATGGAGAAAAAAAGAAAAGTCTTATTTCTCACAACATTATGCTGCATTACATCGAGAGGGGAAAAAATATATCTGGAAAAATAATAACTGTAGAGATTTTTTAATGAAAATTCGTTGTTTCATTCGTAGATTTATAAATGATATTTTTTACTGGATTATTAGAGATGGAATTGATAAAAGTTGTCTAATATTTCAAATTAATTCGAGGAAAAATTTTAATGAAAGTTTCTTCTCTAATTATGAAGGAAGATATTTAACGGAGATTTTTCTGGTATTCGTGGAGATTGAACCTAATGCATTTTAACAAAAAAGATAATAAGGAAAGTACGATGAAGTTTTCTTATAATATCGTTTAATATTATCAAGGAATAGATGTTTCGAAAATGTAAAGGTTTTGACATAAATATTCGGTTTATTAATAATCAGTTTTCAAAAGCTTTATTTCCTAATGTAAATGTAAGAGAGAAGGGTTTCAAAGGTTCTAAAATATAGAAAGTCGAAGTTCGAAATTTCGCGACGTTTATTCTTTCGTGTCTCACACAACACTGATTGCTGTCTCCTGGACGAGTTCGCTTCTTCGAACATCGTCTTTTGTTTGTGTCAGTGCAGCGACTAAGATGAAACACGTTAATACGCAATCTCGTTTTGTCGACGAAATCGAGAGTCCAGTACTACACACTTTCAGCAAAGCTGAAAATCTGACACCAATTTCAATTATGCGAAGAAAATGATGCTTCAAAGTGCAGAATTTTAATGGAAATTTTTTTCCGGAATTTGTTCCCGGAAGTTGAGGATTATACATTCCATTGTAGGAAAAGAATGTTAATAGTGGAGTATTTTTCATTTTTTTACTGATAAATTAATCTCTCGAGGAATTTACAATTATGATTAATTTATAATATTTCTATGTTTGAATAATTTTCAAATATTCTCTTTAAATCTTATTGTGCTTATAATAAAGCAATTATGGGTATTGCTAATTTAGGTTATTTTCAAACAATTTAATAGGTATAGTGATAAAATGTACAGTGATAGTTTATTATTTACATCTTTTAACAATTTACACTGTAGAAGGTGCTAGTATTTTTTGTGCATTGACAACGCTTTGACTCGTCAAATTGCGAAATCGAAGTCACTATGTTAATAAAAACCATGACGGAGGTTCCGTCATGTTTTTGACTTTGAATATTTAAAGGTGTGAAGTAAAATAAGCTTGTAGAAACGAATTAGCTTCTCCAAAAAATATTTAAAAATAATTAAAAAATCTTTCTTAACCATTTGTACTGAACAATTTTAAGGAAAATATACATTTGAAATATAATTCACAATAATTGATTAAATTTATAACAACTTTATAGAATTACTTTACGAAACTTCTGCAAGATAAATTTTGCCACCTCTAATTCTACCCTCATATCATAATTAAAAATCACTTTAAAACATAGTTCTATCTCTTACGACTAAGTAGAACTGCATATTCATTTTGCTCGCCTAATGACCGTCGCGAATCGAAAAATATAATTCCCCTGAAAATTAGAATATCTTCAAAAAAAGAAAAAGTAAAGGAAAAGAAGAAAAGAGTAAAGAGAAAAAGTTTAGGTAAAAAAAGAATAAAGAGATCCGCATAGATAGCGTTCCGCTCTTCAAATAGCGCGCGAGACAGCGACCGTCTGTCTGGCGATTGGTCACTTTCCCTTTTAGCGTACCTTGTGTGGTTGCATAAGTGGGGTCCGAATCTCCAGCAAAATTGAAATTATTCCACGACGCGAAGGTCGAATTTAAATGGTACCGTAGCACACTATCCGCGGACTCGTCGTCTGCAAGCCGGCGAAACGAACGGGTCCTATATGTATAGTGAATCTCGTATGTGCATCGTACGAAGGACAGTGTCTCCTCGGCGTAAGATATCTAATAAGGGTATTCACCAACACCCTAGTCACAGGTGCACGATATCCTTGTTGTTCAGGGGCTGCGGAGGGATGAAACATCCAGCGTTAGTCTCGGGAGGGGCGGCAGACAACTCTCGTACAGATCAATACTCGAGGCAGGGCCGCACTGTTCCATATAATTTTTCACCTCGAACTATTGCCATCTAGAAGTTTTCATGTGTTTAGGTACTTTGGACTATATCGGAGAGGAAATTGTGGCATAATATTTGCTCGTAGAGTGTACTGTTCGCGATGTATAGTATCGGACGAAATTATAGGAATTTTAGGTTAAGTGAAATGTAAGGTGGTAATTGTTTCGAAATCGATTTTTTTTTCTTGAGCTTTTTTCGTTGATTGAAAAATCAGTTTTTCTTTGAACGTGTTTAAAAAATGATGTAATGTTTCGTAAGTAATAGGATGTTATTTTGATCGACTGTAGAAAAATTGTTATGGCAAAGTTGGTATAATTTTATCGGGTATTATATATATATATGTATATGTACGTATGTGTCGATGGTGGGAAAAGGTGACCGAACTTTAACGATACATAATACTATACTACTCGTCGAAAGAAAAAACTTCTAACGAATATAGTTATGTAGATAATTGTTTTTTTCTTTTTTTTTAATTTATGACAAAATTTGGACTATTTTTCAAGAATTTTTTTGCAGTTTTTAGAAGCAGGTATTTTAGAGAAAGATATCTTTTCTGGAATCTGAAGCAACATTTGTAAAGGTTGCAAATGTTTGTGAGTTTCGTGCTTGTAGTAGTATTTAAAGCTATTAAATAACAAACTAAAGTTCAATTCTTGCTAGGCAATACGGTTTTTTAAATTCACGCGTTCTGCTAATGGTACACGACAATTTTTGAAAATGGAATTTTCATTAAACGGAAAAGGACATTCTTCGACTCAGTGCTCACGAAAAACATATGCAAAAAAAGATTAAAGAGCCAAGAATTTAGCCGTATTCGTATTTTCGTGTAATTAAATATTTTAATGTAACGTTAACGTTTTGTTAAAATTTGTAATTCTTTCGCAGCACGGAACGTGTTAATAATAAAAATTAAAATATAGGAAACTTTGTTTTTTACACTTCAAGATATATTTGAAATACTTATTTAAAACATTTAACGTGACATTTTAGATGGTACTTTTTAAAACAAGATATTATTGAAAATTGAATCTCAGTGTGACTTAATGTATTTTAAAAATGACCAAGTTTAAGGTGTAATACATTCACTGGTTATGATCCGAAATAATATTTGTGGCAGGGCCACGACGTGTATATAACTTTTTTAATTTTAACTTGAAATATTTCGTAGTAGTGTTGTATATAATTTTCAGTTTTATCTTAAAACGTACGATGTTCCCTGTAATATTGGACGCAATATTTGAGACAGGGCCGCAGTGTACGATATGTCTTTTGAACTTTTGACGATTTACAGTCTTTAAAATAAATTTATAAATTTTAACAAATATTGCTTTAACATTGTAGATAAGATTTTTTTATTGCCCGTCGATATAAGAAAAAAATGTTTTACTTAATTTTTTGATATTTAATTATTTCACTATTTATTACTGGGAATAAAAATGATAAAAGTGTTTCTATTTCATTGTAGAAGGAAGAGAAATTTTAATGGATATTATGGGTAGAATACATTTTTTCTTAAGTGTATCATAATTCAAGAGATACAATCTAGTAGACGTCTCACTTTAAATGAATGTTTTTCTTGTTTCATATTCTACATTTCCTTCTTCAATCATTTATACTTACGATGAGATAGAAATCTTTAGATAAACAGAAAAATTCCAGCATTGAAAACTGTGCACATTAAATTACTTCAGTTTCTTTGAAAATGTCGAAAATAGTTTATACGTGGAGGTATGAGAACAAATTTGTATTTTACGACATTGCCGAACATCGATTCCAGTGCTACTAATAAAAAATTAACTTCTTCAATTCTCTCGTTTAATATTCCAATGTATAAAAAGAAAGTTAGTATATATTCC